CAAATCATAATCAACTGTATCTCCATAGCGTGGCACAGGGCGGAGGAAAGTAGTTTGGCTGCTCATCCACTATTGGTCCAGATTCTATCAATCTTGTTGCGAAACGAGTCGGCGACGACGTTTTAAGAGCTCTTTTATACGAATGTTGCTACAATTTTTTCGCTACGTTATAGGAATTTCCATTATAGGAACACACGTTATAGGGGGGTCGACTATAATATAAATAATAGAGCAATGCCTCTGATAATTCAAAAAAATTATAGCAAAAAAAAATTTAAATACATATTAAAGTTATCTTACATCCTATTTATGTGATTAATATTATACATAAAATGTATTAATAGGTAATATATCTAAAATAGATCAAATTGCTTAAATATACAGTGGGTGATCGGTTAACGAACATAATCTGTTCCAAGACTTTGTTCGTTAACCAGTTATCGATTTACCATAGGTTTTTATGGGAAGTTGATTAATTCATTCCGGAGACTCCAAAAAATAAAAACTTTTTTACTATGTTTATTTATATGTAATAGTAAAAATACACATATATGCAGTCTTGCATTTTTATTAGTCATGTTTTTTCTGTTTGTGGGAGTTAAAGAATCTGTCCAATGTCGATTGCTTTTCTCTTTCCTTCAGGATTTTTTGGAAGTAATTAATAGCATTGTATTTGTAGAGATCCCCAACCCCATTAACCGTATTCAGGTTTGTTTGCCACTTGGATGATCATTGTTCTGACATCCCTAGCATTCTTCTGTTGTCAGATCAGTTTCAGGTTCCATTATGAGTTCTAAAATGCTTTTTATTTCTACATTAGCAGCTTGAGATTTCTTGATATATCTTCCATAGTTAAGATTGTGCCTACTGTAGACCTGTTCAAGCCATACTGCCTAGCAACATCAGACATCTTATGCCCACTTTCTACCTTGGCTATTATCTCTTACTTGGTTTCTACAGTGAGCACAGTCTTCACACTCCTCTTTTTAGGCTCCATAATATTATCACTTTCTTTTTTAAATAAAACATCCAGAAAAGCACTTACAAAAATTCAGAGAACAGAAATCAACTAGCCCACAAAAAAGTATTTAAATGCAAGGCCCGGATGAAATTCGAAATTTGGTATTAAAACGTTAACGAATATCCGATGGAACAGTTAAACTTTCACCTTTCGTAAATAAACCCCAACACAAAACTTAACAAGTACTCGTCCGACAGTCTTGCAAAGACTATAAAAAATTATTTGCCAGAAAGGTAAACAAAAAGTTGAAATTACAAGGGAGAGTTTCAAAATTAGGAGAAATACTATCAGATCGGTATCAGGTTGAGTGTTGATGTTGATGTCTCCTGCATTCCAAAAGGTTTCAAATTGTCTATTTGGAGAAAGAGCCTACACGGCTAATATCTCCATATAAAACTGTGTAGAAGAAGAAGAAGGAGGTTTTGAATTGTTACCTGAAGACAAGGGAAAATCAATCGGTATTCGTTATTTTCTGTCGCTTCTTTTTATGTTTGTTCAGTAAAAGTGTTCGTTGTCCAATCATAAAAATCTTTCATGAAAGTATTCGTTATCCAATTTGTTCACTATCCGATCACCCACTGTATTTTATTTTGTAGTAGGGACATTTTGATATTTTAGAAATTTGGAATATCACAATTGTCAAGCTTTTATTCTCTGTAAAAATAGAAAGCAATAAAGAGCAAATATCAAAATCATAAATGTATATAATGAATTAAGATATGGTATTTATGACCATATCTGATGCCATTTTGCATCTAAGCATTTTTCCAGTAATTAATGTATCCAATTTATTTATGATAAGTTTAACTTGTAATGCATAAATTTTAATAAAAGGATAGATTAAAAATTATTATTGCTTTAAGAGAATGACCAAGAAACCACTAAAAACTTTCTTTGTTTGAACTATTTATGAAAAAAAGAGAGAAAGTAAATTTAGAATAATTAAACATATTCAATGAAATGATATAATTATTATAAAAATAGTCCAAATAAATAAACCACTCATTTTATTTTTTAAAAATCTACAATAAGTGTATTTAACTATATTAAAAAATTTATTTTTATCATTTTGGTACTATTGTATTCTGATGACAACATTAACTATATAGTCTTATTTACCTGCTTAGGGTAAATTCTGGTTGTATTGACTGTGGCATAAAAAGCTATGCTATAAAATTATAACTGAAAGATTTATTGTTTTAGTTAATCATTATTTATCCTGCTGTTCTTTAACAACATATAATTGAAAAAATGCCACAGTTTAAGCTTCTACTGTGAACAAATGAGAATTAAAATGATGAACACTTAATGACTGCATGTTATAAACAATATCATCTTTAAATTATTGTGTTGATGCAAAAGTTTCAAGAATTTTCTAGACCTCTAGAATATTTGAAATTGTTCTCTGACAAATGGCATTTAAAATCCTTCATTTACAGTCATAAATGAAAAGATATTCTGTGTGGCATATTCAACTTTTTAAATATGTTGAGTTTGCCAATGTTTTCTAATGAACAAATTCACATATATGCCCTTTACAATTACCAGTTTAGTATAAAAGCAACTGAATCTTAATGCCATATGGTGCAGTAATCTCTAAATCTACAATTTACAATTGCACAGCTTTAAATTTACTGAACCAATATGAAGTTGAAGATAAACCACATTCAGGAAGGTCTTCTTCCATCGTATTGGTTGATGAGCTGCAGCAGCTGTTGGAAGCCAGTCCATGCCTAACCAGGCGGGAAATGGCAAGACGGTTGTGACCAGTCAGTCCGCTGCCATTTGAAAGGTCTGCAAGATCTTTATGACAATGCAAGACCACACGTGTCAAGGTTGGTTCAACAGATGCTACTTGATGTTGGCTGGAGATGGTTCTCCTTCATCCCCTGTAGTCCTGACATTGCACCATCCAACTGCCATCTCTTCACTCCAAGCAACACTTCTTGGATGGAAAGCAGTTTACTGATGATGATACAAAAATTATTTTGATTGAAAGAACTGAAAAATCAGCTTACGTTTTATTTAGCAAGAATCCAAGGTGAAAATTACATTTACACCTTCCCATGGATATGTGTAAATGTAATGATAATTATTTTTGTTTTTGAAATAAATGTTACAGTATAAAACTCTAGAAAATTCCAGAAACTTTTGCATCAACTCAGGGTGAAGCAGCTAAAAATTAAATAAATAAAAAAAAGCCTCAAATAAACAGCTAGATTCCTTGGCAAGATACTACTAAGTTTGCCATCCAGTCTTTGCTTACCACACTAATTATATAAGAATTTGTTTAATTAACTAACAGTATTGACCCCATTTAAGAAAATGAAATTGTCCATTTTCATGACTTGTAGTGTAATCTATGATGAAACTGATCTTGTGGTTTGGTTTAATAGTTTTTTGTAGGATGTATATTTTTAAGTTATTCCAGTGGATCAGGTAAAATGACAACCTATGCTTGCTTTGCTAATGTGGTGTTTTTCAATTATATTCATATTTATTATTTTTACTTTTGCATTGTTTTTTAGGCCTAGAACTATTATGCGCTTAATAAATGAAATATGCTTTTAGGCATTTTTATATGTACTGTCAAGGAAAAAAAGGAGGCAGTATTTGCTTTACAGGTTGGCTGTAATTTATCAAGCATGTTTCACTAATGTAACAGGTCATAATCTTTCATATGACTTGCATATTTTTATACTAAGTTATATCTATCAGTAAATCAATGTCAGAACTAACTTTTTATTTTTGTTATCCAGATCAGTGCTGCTCAAGAAACATTAATTTAGAAATATTTTTAAACAAATTTAAATTAAAAACTCAGAATATAACAAAACCTGTTTCATATGAATTAAAAGCATTAACAGTGAATGATAATAGTAAACATCTGTATCAGTCATTTTGGTTGTCAATAGCCACTAAATTAAGGTAACATTAGCATGTTTGTATCATAATGTACAGTACATATAAATTCTCAACAGGCTGTAAGATTTTATGAATTGATTCATTGAGATGGTATGAATAAAAGCCACCTTTTTTTAATTGATACTTTTACAAGTGAATTTAAAGATAAATATTTTGTTTAACACAAATTGCAACATGGCTCTTGATTTAGAATTTTTTCTATCTTACATACACTTTCAAGAATATGAAGAATTTAGTGTCCCCCTTATTTTGATGAACAAATTTTGTTAAAACATTTATGCCCTCTGCATTTGTTCAGAATTACTGAAATATGAAGTTTCATATTGATAGGATGACGTTAACCCCTGCCAATTGAGCACAAAGAATGATTGATATGGGAGATATTAAGCAACAATAAAAAATTAATAACTAAGAAAGATAAATACTGTACCAAAATCTTAATAAAATGTTGTCTATAACATTCAATTTTAATATTAGAAACTACAGTGGGTGATCGGTTAACAAACACTTTCGTGAAAGATTTTTATGATTGGACAATGAACACATATTCGGATAACGAACACTTTACTGAACAAACATAAAAAGAAGCGATGGAAAATAACGAATACCGATTGATTTTCCCTCGTCTTCAGGTAACAGTTCGAATCCTTCCNGTTTATTATTGTTCATAACATAATAAAATATTCTTTAAAAATATGAATAATTTATAAACTTTTTACCAAAATGTTGTAATCTATTTTCCATTTATAGATGGAATTAAGAAAATATGGGACATCAGAAGTATCAACTGAACCTCTCATTTTACATCAAGAAGGTAGATGATTTATTTGTTACATATTAGATATTTAAATCATTTATATAATGAAATTCCAAGTTATAAAAGCAATCTAGTCTTTTTTAGTAGTAAAAACAAAATTTTTTATTGTATCTTCACTTTTTCTTCAAATCATTCTCAATCGTTTATTTAAAATTCATATTGTTCACTCTAATGTCCAAAAATATATTCAATTTGATCCAAGAAAGTTTTCTTGCAAATACAGTCAACCCACCTTAAAATGAACACCAATAAAGTAAATTTTGCTGTTGCCCTGCAAAATGCCATTGTCACAAAGTTAGTTTTCACGTGATAAAGCAAACAAAAATTTCACAGTTTGGTTTAACAAGCTCCAGAAAATTACCTTCACAATCCCCCAAATAACCTTATTTCCAATAAATTTTGCTTTTTGAAATGAACAATAAAAAGTGGTACTGCAATAAATATTACATTATGAGTAGACTAGATTTTCTTCTAGTAAACACAAATAGGTTCATTCTCCATTTGTAGAGTAATTCAAACACTTGGATTTAGTGGACTATTCTAATATACTCAGAAAGTAAGAGCTTAAGTTTAAGGATGCCTACCCTTTAAATGGATGAGGCTCCAGGCAAATACATGCTAGTTTGCATATCAGGGAGTGCATGCAGTGAAGCCATGTTTGGCTATTTTGACTTCTTTTTTACTCTTTTGGCTATGCATGCTATACCTGCACAATAGTGCCAGGATTGATCAGGATTTTACTTGACAAAAAGTGATGATTCTGCAAACAAGAGAGAGACTGATAGTGATATTCAGCTGTCTAAGCCTTTCAAGGATGCATTGGATGAATATCTAAAGATGATAAATGCAATTGGAAAAAATATATACAGTAAGACCCCACTTAACACAGGGGATGTGTTCCTAGATGACAAAGCGCTAAACAAGGTCATTTTAACATAGGGAAACACACGACAAAAAAACAAAAAAATTTTACTTAATAAGTTAATCTAGTATCAAAACATTTGATTCAGCATGACACACAGCCTTGGAAAAACACCACAGATAAAAATTATTTCTTTATTTTGTACAAACAAAATAAATATATTGAAAAATATAAAAACAAAAAAATTTTACTTTAGAAGTTAATCTAGTATCAAAACATTTGATTCAGCATGACACACAGTCCTCAGAAAAACACCACATAAAAGTACCAGTGCTTCCAGCTAAAACACACACATTAACAAAAAAAAAAAATATTGGAGTAGCCCAAGATATAGCCAAAGATTGCAGCGCCACAGCACTAGCAAAAATTTAAATTTGCCGTCTGAAATTCTTTCGGATAAACGATGCTGTACTGTAATCTATAAGAAATTGATGCCAAACTTTTATGCATCTATTTTATGTTTATGAATAATTATTGTATTTTGTATAGGAAATTAAATTTTCAACGTATTTTTAAAAATATCATTTATGTTTTATGTTTCTTACGTGGTTTTTTTCACTGGAAATGGTTTTTACCATGTGGTCCTTTTGGTCCTTCATTTTGTTTTTAGACCAATAAAGTATTCTATTCTATATTCATAAAAATATGGGATGAGATTAAAAAACAGAAAAAGTATTATCTTGTGAAAGCAGAACATATTTGAATTCAGTTACATTGATGTAATTAAATTCTTCCGTAATACTGTATGAATGTAATTTTTTATTTAATTTAATTAATATTCATTACTTTATCTACTGCTTAATTCATAATTTTTTTATAAATACAAGCAAAACTATCTGTGATGTAATAAGTATATCAAATAGTTAGCTTTATATATTTATAGATATCAGAAACTAAGTTACATATATTTGTCATTTTTTTAATATATATTATATTTGATTATGTTGATTTTCAATCAACATTTATTTATTTATTTTTTTATATATAAATACATATATATATGAGAGTGTTTGTTTGTTTGCTATGCATGCCTAGACTGTTTGACCAATTGCTACAAAATTCAGAAGTTACATTCATATACTTTTAATTTAGATCATGTCATACATCTCACACCAAAATATTGATGGATTTCTACATACCAATTTCAGTCGACATCAATTTTCTAGCTTTACATGTAATACCATCTATTGGCAAAAAATTTAAGAAACTAATAAATTAAATATAATTCTTACAAAAAAGGATATAATTTTTAAAATATATATATTATATTCACTTAATTATTGCAACAATGATATAGTGTGAAGTAAACATGCCATTATGCCATTACTGTGACAGGTAGCACATTGCACTTGTCTTTGTGGAGTAAAGTAGGGTTTTGCCCATGTACATCATACTTTTCCTGTTAGCAATAGGGTCATGCCAGTTATGTATCTAACTCCTTTCAGGACAAAATTTTTGAATTGAAATAATGTGACTTTTGGTTTTCATTGGAAGTTTGGATATAGTTAATTGGGGCCTCCTGCACCTAAGTTTTCTGTATCTGATCTTGGCATTCATGTATCTAACTCTGTTCTCGAGATTAGGGATAGACAGCAGACAGACAACTGAATTTATAGGTATACAATTTTTTCAAGAAGCAACTCAATAAATACCTCCAGTAACTAAGTGGATAAAACCATTGAACACCAGAAGTCAGTTGTGGGTTTGCATGTTGCCAACAGACTGGCCATATGCAATTTTCTGGATTTTCTTCACATTAGTAACACCCAATAGGGGACAGCTTTACATAAGTCTTCCCAAGATGCATCCTCCTTGGCAGATCGTTCATGTGTCACATTGCCATAACCAAATAAACCAAACCAATTCTAATAATTTTTTTATAAACGTGATATTCATGTAGACTTACTTAATTACCACGAAACTGGACACCCTGCCCCTCCCCAGATTTCATCTCCCCTTATTAACTCATAAATCCATTGCCCCAAACTTCCTTCACTGATACTGCTTAAAGATGTTCTAGCAATTTCATCATGATAATAAATAGGAAAAATAAGCATTTTTCTTATTTATTATCATGGTGAGATTGTTTCATCCAAAACTTCCTGTAGTTGTAGTCTGCATAATATACTGTACACTTTATTCACATGTTGAGTCTTACTTTCAAATCTGCTTTGACTATTCTTATATCACAATTTTCAAAAGTTTCCTTTACTTAGATGTTTTTGCTGTGCTTTACTTGTTCAACCTGGTTTCACCAGTTTTTTTTTTATAGGATCACATAAAAGCAATTATTCTTGCATTTTTACAGGATTTTTTATTTAAACTAGTTTTATATGAAGTCTTTCAGATGTCAAGGTTAGCAACTTTCATCACAATCTATCCAACATGGATCACTTTTTAAATATTAATAGTAGAACAGTATTAATGAGTAGTCATTCATCCTCACTTCTGGAAGAAGGTCAATGACTACTTTTGGTCAAATTAACTTAAATCCCCTTTTGCAACAGTCCCTTCTTTCTATTGGACCCAGTGGTATGGTGACATTCGAATATGAAAATTGCATAAGATGAGATTACTGGCCATTACAAAATATATTTTCAAGGGTGCCAAGTTTAAATAGTTGTTTTCTTTTTCATGAAATTTGATTTGTTGGTGGAATACCATTTGATATTCAGCTATGAATGAAATAGTTTGTTACAGCTAACATTAGAAAAAAATGCATTATCTTAAAAATTTAATGTATTGTATTTTCAATTGCTATCTACTTGACCAATGAAATTGTGCCATTTTGTACTACCTGAGTATTGTAATAAATGTGACAATGATAGGCTAAAATAACCAAATTCTTTATATGGTTTTCATTTGAATGTTTGTTATATTATAGTATTTGATTATAAGTACAAAGGTTATCTTATGTAAGGGTTTATCACACTGAGTGACCAATCTAACCCATTTAAATTAAAAAATTCTTTATTCCTCTACTGTACACAATTTAAAGAAATTTTTTAATGTGTTAGATTGTTCACTTGGTGTGATAAATCCTTACCTAAGATAATTTTTCTAAATCTAAATCAAATACTTTAATATAATAGAAGGGGTAGAAGTATGAAATAATTCTAATGTTTGTTTTTATTTTTTTGCCTGAGAAATGCTTGGCTTACCTGCTTATATATATATATCAAGCAGCTGCCTCTTTGGAT